ATTTTTGTTGTCGAGTAGTCGTTTGATTTCATATGACCTAATGTAAGAGCCTGCAATAATGCAGTTTGACCAGTGTGGCGCTGTAGCGTAAGACTAATTCAGCCCTCCTGATGCAGTTCAAGAGAAGAACACACAGCGCTTTAGTTCAGAGCAAACGCAGCTGCACCTGAAGCTGCTGAGCGGCGTTTGGATGAATATGAAAATATATGCTGCGCACTTTCCTCTCAATAACAAAATAAACACAACAAAAACTGACAGCGGTGAGAAAGCAGCAGTTAAGAAAGCATCTGATTACAGCAATGTGGATGCTCTGCAGTTCGGTACTCCAGTAAAGTCCAGTCACGTCACGTTTATTTATATGGTACTTTATGCAATAGAGAGCCTTAAATCAAGCGGCTTTACAGTATTAAACATGAAAAACCAGAGTCAGTGTCGCTTTCAGTTAGAATTACAACTTGATTTTCTGTTATAAAGCAGCTCTCTGGTGTGGAGCTTGCTAATGATAAAATATTTTTATTAGTGGGGAAAAATGTTATTTCATTAAAGTGATAGTTTGGTTTGCAGAGATCAAAGCTTGATCTAGCTCAGAACTGTTTTGATTATCATAACCCTATAAGGTATTTTAAGAGAGATTATGTTGTGAATAAAATAGTTTATCCAAAAAGCGTGGATAAAGCGTCTTATCACTTACCTTTATTTTGTTTCTTATCCATGTGATTTACAAAAGGAGATGTTTGGCAGAATGATGTGTCATTCAGTTACTTTTTCATATAGCTAATTAAATGGTGAATGAGAGTTTCTCTGTCATCTCATTTTGTGTGACAAATATATTTATTTGTATAAATTGATTGTATAATAATTGTAATTACATTAATATGATTTTCAAAAGCTGAAATGATTACCTTTATTTATTAGAATATGTATAACTCAGTATTTTAACTAATTGCAAAAGCTGAATAATCAATCAAAGTCTACTGATTAATTAGTGAAATAATCGATGATTAGTCAAGTAATCGTTGTAATAATCATTAGATTCATTGATTATCAAAATAATCGTTTGTTGCAGCCCTATTGTTGACATGAATTTGCCCCATGACAAGTGCTGGAGTGTGTGTGTTATTTTCCACAGCTAGCACGCTACCAGGAAGAGCAGGAAGCTCAGCTCAGAGGTGTTGTGTCCATCTGGCTACTGTGAATGTGTGCCAGTGTTGTTTCAGCCTGTGTGTCACCACTAATGCACCACCAAGCCATTGTTTCTTCGAGGTGTGTGTGTGTGTTTCCTCTGCAAGCAGCATGTGGCTTTTACCCAAACATTGCTGTGTGAGACCCGAGCGTCAGCCCCCTGCGCCTCCTAATCTCTGCTTTATTTTTCCAAACCAGTGCAGAAACTCATTTCTGAAAAACTATAATCCCCATATTTAAGCCCTAGACTGGGTACAGAAAAGTAAGAATTGGGGGCTCGTCCGGGTTGTTAATATTGATAAGGTAATGAGTTTTTATTTGAATATATTAGTGTAATTGATTTGATTATATTAATTATCTATTTAAATATTGTAGTTTCACAATAAAGAAATAAAGAACCATTAGAGGATAAGATTTTTGAGTTCATCTTTAGAAATTTAAGAGTCTGAGTTACTATGTAGGCCTGGGGTTCTCGACTTTAGCCCTTGAATTCCACTTTTCTGCAGAGCTTAGCTTCAATCTTGATCAAACTTACTTGACTGTAACTCTCTAGTAATCCTGAAGAATTTAATTACCTTGATCAGGTATGTTTGTTTAGGGTTGAATCTAAACTCCGCAGGAAAGTGGACCCTGATGAAGACGTAAATTCAGTATTCTCAAACATGTTTCTTTCCAAACAACTTGTTTAGAAATTCTCATGATTACGAACTTACAACCATGAGCTCATTAACATGACAACCCACTTTTACACATCACAAGTAAACTGAGATTTTCATGGTAAAAAGCTTTTATCAGTTGTCGTTTATTAAGGACTTACTGAAAGGGTCAGAGGAAGGCTAGAAAAATGGTCAAAATAAAAGTACAACTGTTTTGTTGAATAGAACCCTGTCTAACATTATAAGGGGGAAAACAAATAATGTTGTAAAAGTGATAAATATGACCCTTTAAGCAGACAAAAATGCTATGCCTATGCCACTAGTCCTGAAAATTCTACAAAACATGTAAAGCGAGAGAAAGCAAAATTATGCCATTGGCTAATTGTAGGTAAATTGTTGTTTGCTTTAACAGCCGATCCACTGCACGGACTAGGAAGATAGGCCTCAAAATTAAGGGGCCCAACCCACAGGTGCAGGACAGCTGTCCCACCCAGAACCCCAAGACCCCCAAGGGCCCGTTCCTTCTCTCTCCTGTCAGACCTTCAGAAATCTAAACCACTCAGACTGCTAGCATCCTAACTCTGTTAATTAACCCCACTGTTGATGTATTTCACACAGCTGGAGTCTCTTAAAAACACTCCAATGGTCAGGTTTACAGCGTAACCAAAAAAATAAAAAACAAAACTGTATTTATATGTTATTTTGAAGTGCTATACTTTAAGATCTTATGAAGAAATACAGAATTCTTGGAAATATAACCAGTAAAAAATTAGAAACAGTTTATTAAAGAGACCAAATAGTTTCTCAAAACAAGCAGCGGGAGGTCTGCTCTCAGGGCAGCACGTGGAGACATGGCTTCCTGTTCTGTCACTGTGCAGGCCTGAGATCAGCAGGAAGTAGATAATCTTCCCAGCGGAGTGTGATTAGTTTGAGTGAGTCACTCTCTGATTGAGGCTTTTGTGTATTTTGTGACTCATTTGGTCACTAACAGCCATATGATTTTCTGTTCGGACCAGTTTGTTTACAAACAAGCAGGCCAAGTTTAGCAGCATATATTTTAGTTTAAAACTTAAATCCCCCTGTTAAGAATATAATCAACCATGTTGATATGTTTATGGGCCTGGATCTTCTTTAAACCCAGATTTTGATAGTGATTGCTTGGTTAGAATTAAGGTATAATTTTGATTGTTGACTACACAATTTGTGTACTATTTTAAGCAATTAAGCTCATCAAAAATGATTCAAGTCAGTCATGCAAATTCGCCGCTTTAACCAATAGAAAACTGCTTGGTTTGAAAGTGACTCATGTAAGTGGTGCTTCATGCATCACTACACAATTGACAATGGACCATTGAACTTTTTTGGCAACTAAATTTTGCCAAATTTCCACTAATATGACTGCACTGTATGAATGATAAAATAAATGAAGCAGTTTAAAAAAAAAGAAGAAAATAAAAGCTTTCTTTGTAGACTGCATATGACTTTATGGTTTGCAGCATTTTTTTTTTACAAATTCAGCGCAGAAAAAATGCTACTCCAATTTCCCCTATTTAAAGGTTGTGTTCTTTTAATTGAGCTAAGGTGTCACACTGTGATGTTTCAATCTTCTGTTGGCCTTGCATATTCATATCATATGAATTTGCAGGTCTTAGTTCACCCAACTTTCATACAAAGTCGAATGTGAAACTTTGCATGAGATTGTGTATAAGTCAATGGAACATTAGTGTGACCACTCCTTTAGCTTTGCAGGTGATCAACTGTAAATAAGTAAGTCTACTGGCAACCAAATTTTGGAGATTAACCAGTGTAGCATTTATTCATCATTACCGTATCCTGCAGTCCTGCAGATCTACTTTCCTGCAGTTACAACTCTAGTAAAACATACCTGAACCTGCTCATCAAGGTTGAAAATGTTAGACAAGGCTGAGACTAATCTCAACCGGAAGTCATATCTCCAGGAGCAGGTTTGAGCACCACTGAACTAGACTGTAAAGCCCACCTGATAATGAAAGCAACGCTAAACTGGTTTACTGACGGAGGGGCACTGAGAATGTAATTTAGCAACCACCATTCTGACGCTTGTGGCCTTGCATGCAAAAATGCAGAGAAGCCAGAATTTCACGTAGCTGCAGTTTTGAAGGGTTCACTCAGGGTGGAGGAGTGGCGAGGAAGAGCGTGAACTGGTGAGGACACCACTGCCTGAAAACACCAGTACATCTGTTACATGATTCATGTACCGCAGCAATTGTTCATTCCGGACTTTTAGAGCTCTGTGGTTAGAACTGCAGGTCAAACGGGTTGCGTTGAGTCCAGCAATGGCTTGAGTTGAATGATTTAAGGCAGAATCTTGCATCGCAAATTTTTTATTTTTTTCGTTGCAAAACTTTTGAGATTGCATTTGCTCACAAAACCTTTGAGTTCACCGAAGGAACTCTGCGTTTACTTGGAAAAGAACTCAAAATGTTTGTAGGCAAATGTATGGAAAAGTGAATGAGGATATAAAAGGCAATTTCAGATACAGTCACAATCTAATAGCAATTATTAGTTATAAGTTTTGGTGGGTTCCTGTGAATTTGTATGATCTTATTTGTATGTTTTCGTACGATCTTTTTACACCCCACTGAGGGTTAGGTTTAGCGGTTGTCCTTCATGCTTAGTTTTTTTTTTTTTTTCTAAATATTGTAAATTTTCATCAGACAAATTCATACAGAAATGGCAACTCATAAAATAACTAAAATCTAGTCTCTTTTCGTAAAAAGTATTTCGTAATATTTTATGCTAGGTAGCACATTGAACACATTTTTTTGAGGAAAAACCATTGCTAAAGAAAAACAAAAGCATTGATATAATTGTTTCTCCTAGCTCATTTTTTTCTATCACCATGTAATTTCCACAGTGCTTCCCCAAATTAGACATGGCCAAGAAATCTAAATGTGTCCTCTGAGAGATAGTTGGGTTTTAAATGGGTTTTGGAGTAGAGTGAAGGGATGGAATCAGGCTGAAATGTCCAATGTTCAAAATCGCCAGTGCGTTCCTAGAATACAAGAAAAACAAGTTCTGATTTGCTGGACCTAAAGAAATACAGGTTTTCTTCAAAACAGTGTGGATACTCTTCTCCAGAGGTGTGTTTAATGTGAACATTTTGTTTTCGTTCTTGTGCAGTCACGTTGAGAAGATCACCACATGGCATGACCCCAGGAAGACCATGACGCCCTCGGTGACCCAGATGGGTCTGCACAATCAAGCCTCCAACAACGGCAACATACAGCAGCGCTCCATGGCCCTCTCTCAACCCAACCTCGGTGAGTGTGAAAGCCGTCCCTCCCAGCAGTCCACATTCCCCATTACTCATGAAACACGTGCTCTCCTGAGCTGTTTTTACTCAGCTGGGGAGTTGCTTGCCCAGTGTAACTCCAATGCTCAATGGCCCATGACATTCACACATACATCTAATATCACACCTCTGATGTGGAATTGGGATGAACCTCATGGAGTTTAATAGATGTACAGTAGTTGTGTTCTAGCATACTGAAATACGGTTCTTTTCTTTTGCGTTTAGAGGTTTGTGCTAAGGGTTAGAGATTTAAACAAACTCCTAAAGTATTAAACCTGAGCATTACTCATCCCACTCCATTTGTGCTACACACATGAATAACACCACAAATCATCACGAAACCTCATAGCAATGTGCTAAAAACCACCCTTTACTCTTATATAGTGCACTATTTGAAGGCAACAGCCATTTGTAGTGGTGTCCGAAACCATAGTGGGCATAACTGAGTGCACCACAGTAATGAGTGTTCAACTGATACTAATGCACTGTGAGGGTCACTTCAAATAAATTGCCCCATCTCAACAGAAGATTGCATCCACAGGCCTTCCGGTGCAATCAAATTCAATGTTCAAATTCACAAATTCTGAATTCAAGTGGACAGTGAGCGTATAGGGGACGATTTTGAAAAGTCATGCTAAGTCATTTTGTGCCAGTTTCATGGCAATTATTCATTTGTTTACATTTGGCTGAATTGGTATGAATTTGTACAGTCTCATTTGTATGTTTTTGTATGATCTGTTTACGCTTCACTGAGGGTTAGGTTTAGGGGTGGACCTTCATGCTTATTTAAAAAAATAAAAATTCTATTAAATTGTACATTTTTATAGGAATCAAATGATACAAATTCATACAAAATCACAAAGTTGTAAAATAGTTTTCTCATGCATACTCAATGGCCAGCCGCCAGAGAATACCCATGCACTGTTAGGGTCGCTTCAAATAAACTCCTGCATCTCAGCAGATGGCGGCGTCCACAGCACTTTCCGCGCACCCAGTTTATGAATTCACAAATTCTGCTAAGTCATTTCATGCTAGTCTCATGGCAGTTATTAACTTTTTTACATTTGGCCAAATTATTATGAATTCGTACAATCTCATTTGTACGTTTTCGTACATTTTTTATGCCCCACTTTAGGTTAGGTTTAGGCATGAACCATCATGCTTAGTTTTTTTTTTTCTAAAACTTGACGTTTTTTGTATGAATCAAATAGGGATGCACCGATACCACTTTTTCCAGTACTCGCCCGATACGATACTTTTATTTTTGGCACTTGCCGATACCGAGTACCGATACCAATATTTTTATTGCATTTGTACATTTTTTAAATATTGGGTACAGAAACCAAAAGAGTATGTATAATGTTAGTTGGTTAACTTAATTTATCAAATAGATACAGTCAAACCTAAATTTATTCAGACACCTTCAACATTTCTCACATTATCACAGTTTATTCGCTATAGTTGGCATTTTAACGAGTACAGGAGCTCAGTATCGGTGCATCCCTAGAATCAAATCATACAAATTCATACAAAATCGCAAACTCGTAAAATAGACACGTTTTTACGTTTACTCAATGGCTAGCGACTAGAGAATACCCATGCACTTCAAATAAACTCCCTCACCTCAACAGATGGCATCTACAGCACTTTCCGCGCACCCAGTTTCTGAATTCACAAATTCCAAATTCAAGTGGAGTATTATAGGGAATAGTATACTGGTTGAATGTATAGGGGTTGATTTAGAAAAGCCATTATTAAATGGCAATTATTAAATTTGCAACGTTTTACCGAATTAGTATAAATTTGTACATTTGCATGTTTTTGTACAATCTGTTTACGCCCCACTGTGTGTTAGGTTTTAGGGTTGGACCTTCATGCTTAGTGTTTTTCTAAAAATGTTACATGTTTGTACGAATCAAATCATACGAAATCGTGTAAAATAGTTACGTTTTCTCATAAGATCAGGTTACATTCAGAGCGTACAGTATTTGAACCTAGTAAGGTATCATTCACATTTACTAGTCTGTTTTGTGTTCTTTTAGGCTAGGTACATTAAAAAACTAAGTAACATGAAACAGAGTGTTTCATTTAGTAATTTCTTTGCGTATGTGTATATGACATGAAGGCAGTCTGTCTGTTGATCAGAGGCCCTGAGTAAGGTTTAGCTGCTTTTTCTGAGGGGGTCAAATGCTGATTTAATGAAGAAGAAAGTCTCCCAGCCGGCAGATCTGAAATCTTTTAAAGCTGCATTAGATTTGTTGACTGTTGTACATGAGGCGTTCTGTAGCATGTTTGCGTGTTGTTTGCTCTGCCCCGTGACACGGGCCACAGTTCTAACTCTGTCAGTACCATAAATGATTTCCAAATGTATTTGCTTAGTTTGGCTTTTTTCTTCCCAAATTCTGATTTGTGATGAAATGGAAAAAAAGGTGTGCCTCTGCTTTGTTGGCAGCCGGGAAACAGATTCCTGCGAGGGGGTGGGGGATGGAGGCATAAGAACAAGACGAAAGAGTTTGGAGGGAGAAAGATTCCTTCCAGCACTACATACAGCAGACGCCAGCTATCTCAGCATATAGAGTTACATACTATGAAGTTCAAGATGTTGTCTCCATTCACAGGAAGTAAAGATAACAAACTAAAGATATTTAACAAAAACTTTGATCTCCCATATTCCTAACTTTTACCCCCCAAAATAACATTTCCAATTGTCATAAAAAAAATAGCAAAATGCAAAAAAACGAAAAAAATTGTTTTTCTTCCACTTTTCAATGTGAAGGTATCACACATCATGACTATAAGGAGGAAGCGGTGGTGATAATGTCCCACTGCGCTTGTGTGAGTGTGAATGAAGCTGCTTAGCCTGAAATAATCGTGTGTTTAAGCCGACCTGCTAAACTCGTTCAAACAGCTGCTATTTCACCCTGATCTTCTGTAAACTCAACCACTCATTTCTCTGGTGCACGATCTTCCAGTGACTCAACCGCTCAGGTTTTTTTGACATGGCTGTGTCATCCATTTTGGCTTACCGGGAGCCAATACAAGTTCAGAAGACACATAATAGAAAGCCGTGACTTAGACTCTGCACCCACAATTCCTTGTGCTTCATCTGTCCCTGGATGGAGGATTTTTTTTTCAGCCTCTAGGAACTTGAGAGGCAGCAGATTTCCTGTATTCTTAGTTTAGACCAGCTTGAGCCTTCACCTGTTGTGTGTTCGCAGTAACTCATGGTGGGCCCCCCTCAAAACTTACGGATTATGGCCAATTGACACTCTAATGCAGGAGTGCATTATTAGAACAATACAGTTTTGTTGAATGCTTTCCATAGCTTTTTTTCGCTTACAACAACAATTGCCATATTACATCACAATCTGGTGTTTTAAAGGCAGCTGCAACTGCTTTTTTTTTTTTTTAGCTCTTATGAATTTGAGCCCAGTATGAATGTGTCATCTGGTCAATGATGAGATGCTCTTTTTTTATTGTATTAAAATGTACGAGATGCAATTCGTTCATACAAGGACTTTAATATACATCTTGTATGATGAGGATGTTTTCAATTTCTGAATAAAAATTCTACTTAATTGAATGGAGGCTGTTGTCCTCCAACAAATTAATGTGGTCTAAAATGCAGAAACATTCAAAAACAAAGAAACAAAGAAACAATAAAAACATTCAATTATGTCATAGAGAGGTCTCTTATCATATCAGATCATTTAACTTTTTTAATGACAAGGCAAGGTTAGTTAAAATTGTAAAATGTGTCTTGTGGTGCAACAATTTTCTTGTAAATTGTATAAATATTTTCACAACCATTTTAAACCACCATGAATACAAACTTGATTTTGTTCATTTGGATTTGATTGAATTTTGAAAAGTCAGCTATATTATATTTTGTAATACTGAATACTGCTTTGTGACCTTGGTTGCATCAACTGAAAAGGAACATCATTTTAGTAATTAAATTTTTATGACAGATGAATCTCACTTAAACCACTAAACTGTCAGAACAAATATGAATAAATGGTACCTTTAGGGGTACAGCAGCTTGTTACCGGGGCAGTAACCTTAAACAGACATCTTTGTGCCTTGTTTACCCTTAAAAGGTGCATTTTAGAAATATATACCCTTAAGATACTACTATGTACCTTTTAGGAGTAAATACAGTATAAAGTTGTCCCTTTAAGGGTACTGCCACAGTGACAAGCTATTGTACCTCTAAAGGTGTCATTTTTGCTAATTTAAGCAGACCAAAGAGTAGCACAGTAAATGAAGCCCACTTCTCTGGTCATCAATCTGGAGTGTGGGTCAGTCTGCTGGCTGATCTCTAGCTGTTGTACTGTTGCCGAACAGGACATTTGCCTGAGGGTTGGGAGCAGGCCGTCACCCCTCAGGGAGAAACATACTTCATTGGCCACAAAACCCAAAGCACCTCATGGCTGGACCCGTGGGTGGGCGAGTACTCCCTTCTAGAGTCCAATCAGCCCAGTATGGTACAATTTAATGATGTAAATGTCCACCTCCCACTCCAATCCCACAGTCCCTTTCCTGATAATTTGACCCGTTTCCCACACTACCACTAATCTGAACATGCAATATGATGAAATGGCAAGAGGGTGTTGTTCTAGTGCTGTGACTAGCATGTGTCTACACTGAAGGTGTAATGATCCAGAGATGATTTGCAATACATGCTAATACGTGTTGTTTGTGATCAGTGATCATTTCTCTTATAAAAACGTAACAATATTAACGTGACCATTTTCAAGGACAATGAAAATTCTGTTCATTTACTCAACCTCATGTGGTTCCTGTGTGACTTTTCATTCTTCTGTAAAACACAGTTGGAGATATTTCAAAGAACTGTTTTCATCCATACAGTGGAAGTCAATGGGGTCCAAAGTAGTGGTTGACCGATATATCGGCCGATATTTGGCATTTTTCAAATATCGGCTTCGGCCGATAAGTTTTTCTGTT